GACAGGCGTGCTTTCTCGCGTTTCGACAAGCTGTCCGGCAAAGGTGGCAGCGAGCCATTCGATTTGCTGCTTGGCAGGGGGATCACCGGCATAGCCGAGACCTCGTTCACAGCGGCAGCATTATGCTCGAGGGAAAGCTATACGCACGGACCGTTTTCCGCTGCGCCGGCCAAAGGACCAGTCTTGGCGTCGGAGGGGGAGACGCGGGCCGCGGGGGGCGACGTTTGGTCTCCTTTCCTCCTTCTTCCGCGTGGTGTCCGGCGACTTACTGGCAGCCGAGACCACGGGAGGTGCAGCGAAAGGCCGTAGGGCGCCGGAAGGGCCGTCCCTGTAGCCTCCGCTTGCGACGTCAATCACGATACCTGTGCGCGCGAGAAAGTTGCGACCGAGAATCACAGGCACGGAAAGACCAGGGAGATGCAGAAAGCGCTGTCGGCGTGTGCGATTCTCCCAACGCACAACCAACCGCGCAGCGCCGCACGAGGTGGCGGTACCGCTGGCGAGGTGGACGGCAGTGTTGCAAGCGTGAATGCGGACAGAGCGGTCGCGCAAATAAGCCCTAACCTCTTCGCCGAACAGCGAGATAGAAGCCCCGCTATCCAGCAACGCCGCAAAGTCTCGACCAGCGATCGTAGGGGCGATGAACGGCGCCGGCGTGGCTGGAATGTCATGTCCAGCGCGACACGCCATCGGTGCCAGAGGTTGTATTACCTCCCGTGCTCTCTTACTGCTGCAGCCACCGGCAAGGGAAAGCTCACTGACGGCTCACCCCATTTCCCGACGGGTGAGCAGGCCCTTGTGTTGGTCGGGGCGCATTGCACTTTTGCGCGGTGTGACCACACTCACGGCAACGAAAGCAGACCGCGCCTTTTCCTCCAACAGGGGGGGATTTTGGCGATCCTTTAGAGCTACGAGGTGTTCGTTCGCTAGCCGCAGTGGGGGCTCCACGATCGGATATCCCCTCCTGCACTGGAGCACGGGGTTTACGTTCTTGTTCACGCTGCCGAGCAACGGTGGCCGCCCGGGCGTACGAGTACAGGTCCAGAGCGCGGTCCGACACATCGAGCTCGTCTCGGTCTCTCGCGGCGGAGGCCACGTCATGGTTCGGGGATCCACAGTGTGATGAGTCACGACCAGCCCACGTGCAACGAGGCTCAAGAGACGCGAACGGCGGGCGATAGGCTTGCGCCGCCAAAATGTCGCCCTGAATACACTTCGCATCGGATGCCAGCTCGTTAGGTCACGATAATGGGCGCTCCGAAGGTAAGCGGCAAAGTTTGGATGAGCCTGGCGTATAACTCGCTCCACCTTCTCGGCGTCTGATGCCGTAGGATCGGCAAGGAGGTAGAGCTCTGCAAAGCCCGAACGTAATCGAGAAGAGATTCGTCGGGATGCTGTGTGCGAAGCTCTAACTCACGACGCATGCGGCGCTCGTATTCAGGAGGAAGGAATGCGCTACGAAAGAGCCCCCTAAACACCTCCATCGAGCGAGCTTGGTGGCCGACGAGCCGGTACCACCGCGCCGCTTGGGCTGTCAGCGACACGGGCAAAACAGAGCCTAACATAACGCTGTCGCTCAGCCGCGTAGCCTGCTGATAGCGGTGCAGCGCATCGAGATACTCTGTGGCACTGATGCAGTCCGAATAACCGCTGTACTCAGGCAGAGGTACCCTTAAGATACTCAGAACGCTTGGCTGAGGTGACTCGGGGTCTCCCTTTAAAGCACAAGGTTGCGAGCGCACCGCTTCCAACAGAACGTTTAGAAGCTGCGCCGCAGTTGCGTGCAGCGGTGACTGCTCCGACGCGGGCGCGGCCGTAACAGGTGCGCGCGCCTGTTCCCCAACATGCGCGTCCGACCGAAAAGGGCCAGTACACGGCATGGAGGAGGGTAGGGTTTGCGCTCCGACTGGTGCTTGAGGCCTCAGGCGACTGGCAAACGGGTCGACAGCGGAGCACGGTGGCCCACGTCCGTCGAAAGCGTCGCCCACGCGAGTCTCACGCCAGCGAGCGTCTGTGAAGGTGGCGACGTCGGTTAAGCGAGCAGGCTCACGAACGACTTCGTCAACCCTTTGGGCTCGCGACCACGATGGGTCAGTAAGCGCGTTCCCGCCAACACCTGAGTGCCCCCGGTAGGAAGGACAGGGTGCGGCTATTTGAGCTGTCAACCGTGCTGCTGACGGGGAAAGGTCAGCGAGCGGAGACTGCGCCGGGGACGGGCCTGTAAGCGCGTGTCTCGAACAGCTGATGCAGCCCGGTACTGGCTTGGCTAGGACTGCGGTCCTCGTTCAAGCGACTCACATCACTGTAGGGGGCCCGGAAAAAGGGATCTCTCCCGGTGAACGAAAGCAGAGGGTCGCCGAGAGGGCCGTACACCGTGCTATTGCAGCGGTCCGCCTCGAACGAGATCAAGTCCGTCGCCACAGGATCGAACAGGAACGAGCGCCTTGAAGGGGTCTGCTCTAAAGCCATGCCGAAACCAAGTTGGGCGCCAGTTATGCAGAGATAGGTTTGCACTAGGCTTGCCTACTATGCGCAACCGTGTAGGGATGCGACGTCCTCCACTGCCGCTGCGTGCGAAGACGTTGCGGCCTAGTTCGTCGTTTTCTCCGGCACGGTGCAGAAACCATGGACGAGGCAGGATAACAACAACAACGGGTTTATTAACCCAAGATGCAGCACACTGCGACACTCACGGGCATGCAGGCCGTATAGGGAACTCCGCAATACCGAGCAAGTACGCTTGCCTAGGGCGCGACGACTCCCGCACAAGGGCTGAAGTCGAACGCACGAACGAGAAGCCGCCTGCTTAGCAGCGCGTCAACCCCTCGTGAAGGCCTGAGAGCATCTGCCGCGACGAGCGAATAGTCGGGCGCAACACAGCTCGTAGGAGAGGAGGATATCACGCGCGCCCAATGGGAAATGGCGCTGCGTTGTGACGTAGGCCCGCGCAGCGCACCAGAGTAGCGTGCCCGGACATGCCAGAGCGGGAAAAAGCCGACGGTTGACTGGCCCAGACCAAGAGGCGCCCTGGCAGCCATCTTGGCGGATGCCGGTGCTTATGCGCGCCTGGGCTACACCGTTGGCGCTTGTGCGGCAGCTGGGAACGAGGCGCCCTCGATTCCTGCATGCTCTCGAAGGAGGGCGCTCTCGATTCCCGCATGCTCTGGAGGTTTTCACTACATCCAGACATTTCAGAGAGAGCAAGAATAACAAAGGTCAGACTAGTCAGAGATGTCCACTGAACTGATCGGCATCACTTGTTGACGCGGCGCAGCAATATTTACCCGGCAGCTTCCTGCGCTTGCTGTGCGGTGGCGCTACAGGTGCGCTGCTATTGGCTGCTCTGAGCGCTCTGAAATCTCCGATGTATTTGGTTGGTTTGCTGCCTCTCACCTCCGATTACGAGCTGCCTCTGCATCTGGCAACTCTGACCCAGACGACCAGAGCGGCCAACCGAATCCGCCACTAAAAAGCTTGGAGCACTCCTACACTCTCGCCGATGCATAGCTTTGCTCCTCAAAGTGGGTATAATTTTCAGTAATGAAGGAAAAAAAAAACACTTTTTGTGGCAACGAGTGAAAAGCGTTGCAAATGAGCCATACAAAGGAGCGAAAGAGACGTTTGCAGACAACCAAAACGGAGCAGCGTAGTTAACATCGTCATAAACTACCGAGACATACAATAATGCCAATAACGACTTTGAAAGTACATTTCAGGTTAGCGCACTGAGTTAGGACAGGGAAATCTTCAACAAAGGTCCCATTGTGCACAAAAACCCAAGAAGCAGAAATTGCGGCTTTTACAGTGCTATGATTACAAAAGTGCAGTATATACATGTCTATCAAAAATGAACATGACGTAACAGACATTTATTTACTCCTTTCTCAACACTTTCAATAATTTACAATTAGGCCTATTCGGGCATTTTTTACAGTCCAGTGAAATGTGATTGAACAACTTTTTACTGCATACAGGTGGCTGTGTACACAACCGGGGTGGTTACGGGCTGCGATTCATGGGCTTTCTACACATGAGAATCTTACAGGGTCTGACAAAAATAAATCACAGATGATTAAAAATAAGCACAGCTTCATAGAAGCGCATGATTATCTTTTACACAGGCATATAAATTAGTGATAGTGCAAGCAAAGAAATGATCACCCACATCTAACCCTTTTAGACCACCTGTGAGGACCTGTCAGTAAATGTGTCAAATCAATATATATTATGCTATTTTGAGACACTCAATAATCTACAGCAACCAGTACGATAGCCATGGGAGGGGGGCACACCCTAGGCCAGTGCCCCCCCCCCCTCCGTCCCCTTCTTGAAATTTTCTTTCTTCACCATGACATGCTTCACGAAGGTGTCATCAATAAAAATGTCTGCCTACGCCCCCAATATCAACATAACTACAGTAGACTCTCAGTAACGAAACCTGAAGGGACCGGCAAAATTTGTTTCATTTAACAATTCTGTTTACTGAGAGGTTTACACGGGTGCAGAATGCAAGCCCGAAACCAAGCATTGCAGAGGCAATAGTTCCGTTTAAGCAGCAGTTCCGTTTAACAGATTCTCGTTTACTGAGAGTACTGTAACCATAATTAAGCTCCAACTAAATATCTCATTAAACTGAAGTGATTTATGGTCTGTTCTGGCATAAACAGAATGAAATCCCAGGCTAGAAATATAGTGCAAGTTCATTCTTGGTCAAGTTCATTTTGAGCAAATATTTTTTCACGTGGCTAGCAGGAAGCGGCGCATTGAACGACTCGACAAATGTGGTGATGACTTCACCAAATTGATAATATGCAAGAGCACAGCACGAAATCAAATCAAATAAATACACACTTATTATACAGGTCAAATTCTTCCACAGCTCGATATATATCCCTCTTCCTTAGCACCTAGCTGGTACAAATATCAAAAACAAGTGATGTACACAATTGTGTGCAGAGCCTGTCAAAGGGTTAAACAGACCCGAAAACAAACACGCCTACCTTGTACGTGAACTTTGTGGAACTCATAACTTCGATAATGTTGAAAGCTGCCCAGCTGATGTCATATCCGAGCATTTGGAGCTGAAAAAAAAAATCACAGAGTATGAGTATGTTCAGCTACGCATCAATGTGATAAGTTTGGTGAGTTCATAATTATTCACAATAAAAAATTACTGCCCAATTAAATGTCTTGCACAAACCTACAGTGGCTTCCATGGCCTTACATAAAAGTAGCTACCGTATTTACTCGCATAATGAACACACTTTTTTTTTCGAAAAATTTGAGCAAAGTAGAGGTGAATTTATTATGCAGGGCAAATTTTGTGAAAACTTTTTTGGTATGAGGGAAAAAATCCGGTAATGCAAAGAAAAATTAGGGTACCCTATAGCTATGCCTTTAGGAGTTGAATGCAATAGCAACATCCTGTTCCTAGTGTGTACTTTAAACACTAAGAGCATGAAACTTTTCGAATTTGCTATGCACCCACTACGTGGCCTTAAGAGAATAGGCGCACAAGCGTGTGTGCCTTTTACAGAGGCATAACGGCTTTGAACCACGGAGCCATTATGGTAACCACATATCCTGACGCTCGTTGGTACCACGCATTAATACTGCAGTATTTCATGTTGCATTATAAAGCATGTATAAAGGACACGTGTGTTTGTGAAGCATGAAAGTTACTTTCGCTGCATTTCCAAGCAGAGGAAGTTCTTATCACTGTTTTCACAAGCAGAGGCATGGCCATGTGGTAGATCATCCACTTGCCAAGCATACGTCCTGGGTTCGATCCCCACTTAGACCCAAACAATCCCGGTTCAGTCCCCACTGTGTTCCAGGATTTTTTATCATTTATTTTATTCGCATCGTTCTCGATTTTTCTGTCACGCATTACATCATGATTTTTCGCTAACGGCCAAGAATGCCGATGCCAGAATTGCTGGGAAACAGGTTTTATAACGTTATCGTACTAAAAACATAGGTCGCTCAGCTTCTTTGCTGCACTTCACTAATCTTCGACGGTTGAAGGCGCTATATTCCGCAAGCTGTTCTCGAGTCGCCCGTGCATGCCATAAAAGCGTTTCGCAGCTATTTTTTTATCACAATCGTTTAACCACAACAGTGGTATTTGCTGTGATCTTGAGGGGCGCCCAGAACCGTACGCTACGACGCCACAACGCACCTTGCCAGCTTCGTCGTAATGACCGCGACGATGCCATTGACATTGTAGCAAGCAACCAACATTGCAGCAATCTACCACCAAGCATCAAAACAAACCGTCGATATCAAGATTAACGACAGATTACGGCGGCTGCCTTGCTTGCAACCGAAGTGAGAATCTGGGATTATTTTGCAGAAATAGTCACAATATTTTTGGTCGACACATGGTTTCCTTCTGGTTTTCCAGAAACCTGCGATGCGATTGCGATGAATGGCCCTTCGCGATAGCCATAGCGACAGCAAATCCTGTCGTCGTCGCTCGAAAATAGCACGCGTGTGGTTGAGATTTAAAATTTCGAATTCGCAGGAAGTGGCCGTCGCTTGGCGCGAAAAGTTTTGCGACTTTCGCTTGCTGTGTGCTTGTCAGCTGCGATGTCTCTACATTCGCATCGTTTGTGAACCCTGCTGCGGCGCATGGATATTTGAAAATGACTGGGTACATGCTGTACACAGGTAGAAAGGAAAACTATACGGCGGGCCGCAGAGGGTGAAGGGGGGGGAAGGAGTGAGCCGAGGTGGCCGAGCAGGGTTCGGCATAATAATAAAAAATAGAAGAGGTCCAATGGGCAAGAAGGCACGAGGTGTCCGTTAGCGGGACTGCAGTGGACAAATGTAGGGGGTGCGTTTATTAAATGGCAAAAAAAAAAACAAATTTTGAGTACTGAAGTTAGGGCTGCGTTTATTAGACGAGTGCGTTTATGTATAAGTAGCACACATCCCCTCACACAGGTTAAGAGACCATGTGGTCCGCATTAATGACCCATGTGAACACTATCCAGGAGGGGTATATAAAATATCCCGTGAAAACTGCTGCACATCATACATAGGAGAAACAGGCAACTTGAAACGACGCATTAAGCAGCTCCAAAATGACGTAGTTAAGGGACATACTGCCACCAACGCACTAGCTGAAGATCACCTTAACACAGGACACAGCATTGATTGGAATTCTGCGACTGTCATAGACACTCTCATCTTGCTTTCCTTCGGAATCATTATTAATCCAGTTGACACCACATGCACATAATCGTACACATGGACATCTACCTGATTCTTACAACAGATCATTGCGCCACTGTCACAAACGACTCCAATTTTCGGAGCATCCGCGGGCCCCATCTTCCAAGGAAGGGCGCTTTTGTGTTGGGAGACGACATCCGGCGACTATAACGACCCAGCGTGGCGCCGGCTCGTCTTCCCTGCCCCTGACCGGAAGGGGAACCGGTGGTCTCAACAAGGAGAATTACTCCCCAGATGAGATGGGAGCACGTGGACGCCCCTGAAGAGGTTTGAACTGCATCGGAAGAGCAGTTGACGTACAGACAGCAACAAGTGCGGTCGTCGGTGTCGCGAGTCTCGCGTAGGCGGCGAGCACGGAGTGACCCGCGCAACGTATTGAGACGGCTGCAATTCCGGGCACCCTCGTCGTTCTACCAAGCCGGCGAGACCTTCAGCGGCACCCGTCAACTCCCCTACGTGTACCAAGAGCTGGCCTGGTCCGTATGGAACTTTTTATTGTGACTTTTTTAAACTGTTAAATTGTTTTAACCAGCCTTTTTTTTTTAATCTGTGTAGTTGTGTGCGCTGCGTCGCACGTTTAAATTCAAAAGCGCCACCATGATCATTGTGTAATTATTTCCTTGTAACCCTCTTTTACGATTTCCATCTTGTCGTTATTTTATTAACATTCCGCATATTTGTCTTTAGCCTGTATCTGTTGTAGTGTTTTTAGCACATTTTGTTATATCGCTGTTCTTTCTCATCGCATATCAGTTTTTCTCCTTTGTTATTTATGTAATCTCCTGCCTTTGCCCCTGTTTTAATTAAATTCTTGTTTATGTGTAATCGAACTCCGTGTCTGCTCTATGAGTGCGTCGGTCAGGCCCACACATCACCACACGTGCAACCCCGCACGGGTCGACCAACCCGCAAATAAATTCGAAATGTGCCACTTCGAGGCCTTTCAGGCGTCGCAGGCCGAAGCGTAATGTGGAAGCCTGCGAGTCTGCCGCACGTCGATGTTGGATCGGCGGGGCCTCACCCGAAGTGTGTGACATTATCTGGCGTCCGCGACAGGACTGGCCGACCGCGTGGTGATGTCTGGGAGACTGACGTAACTCTGAGCGTTCAGTATGTAGCCGTTCTGTTATTGCTTTGTTGGTTGTCAACTGTTTATAGCAATGGACAACACGGAGTTTGATAAGCTAATTGAACAGGGCAAAGCCTTTGGCTTTCTAGGCAAGGATTTATATAATTTCGTCGAAAAAGAACGAAATAGACTTAAAGAGGAGCGCGATGCCGAACGCATCAGGTACAGGCAACATCTGGAATCTTTGATGGAACAGGAGCGAGAAAATTCAAGGCTTAGAATTCAGAAGGAAAAAGAGCGCTTGGGACTGTGTGCCACGCAGTCGGGTCTCAGCGTAGCCGCTAGAACGCCCAGTAGCGTGACCGACCGTGTCCCGAACAAGCAGTCTTACCAGGATCATGTTCAGCTACTGCGCCAGAAAATGGATTGTAGACGGCGCATGTTTGAGACCTGGGATGCAAGGCAAAAAAGGAGCAAAGAGCCCCTAGGCACCAAACAACTGAGAGCCGGCCAAAATAACAGTACTGATGAGGCGAACATCGGGTTCACGAGTAAACCTAAAATGTTAGCTGCTGAAAGTCCCGTTGTGGCCACAAAGGCCACTGAAGGCCACAGTGATGGCGACGAGGCGCTGTGCCTGGAGAGTCTTGTTAATACAGAAATACCATCTGTAATGGACTTGGCACAGCCACCCTGTTTGTGCGTCGCCATAGCAGCTAAATGTGAAGTTCGCAGTACCTCCGGCCCGGTAGGTGAGGACCCCTGTACAGAGAGCGGGGCACAGTCGGGTGCTGACGCGCACTGCGAGCTGGGCAATGTTGGGGCAAGTAGTTCTTTCAGGTGCGAGCGGCGCAGCCCTGAGGAAGACGCTTGCATTGCTCAGCCGTCAGTCAAGCTTCCCGCAAGTCAGGGTGTCCACAAGTTAACGGAAAATCCCGACTGTATAGGCATTATAGCCGAAGAGACAAGCGAAAGAAGTTCTGCTCTGCAATTGTTGCAAGCGGACTTTTCAAAAGTGAGCACTGGGCAATGTGCAAAAAGAAAAAGACGCCGCACAAACAGAAGGAAAACGAAGGCTGCAAAGCAACCGGGAAAATCGCGAATTGCCAAACGGCAATCAACGCAACGAAAGCTTCGATTGCGTTTTGTGGCATTTGCCAGTCGAGTGGGTCCCTATGCTTCAAACCGCCCGACAGATAGAGGGGCGAGGCAGGCATTTGTTCGTGGAGCTCGGAAGAGCCGACCTCCTTCGCTCCATTGTCCTGCTCGAAGCGCGGGGTGCATGGCGAACCAGTGCCTTTCGGCCAAGCGACACGACGTGGCTCGGGGACCCGTTTTCGTAGAACGAGGCGTCGATATAGGCATGCCTCCGGGGTGCAGACTAACGGGAAACAGGCGTCCGTGTAGCGGCCGTACACACTTTTGTCTGCCCCGGTTGTTTCGAACGGCTCCCCCAAGAGTGCGACCACCTCGAGCACGGATAAAGGTTACGTACATAGAAACTCAAAGGTAACCTGAAAGGCAAATGACTTGTTGTTTGAAACAATGTTCATTTCTGTTTTTCGATTTAGGAGCATTCCATGAGTGGGGGGACTAATAGCTTAGTTAATTTTTTTGGTTTGCTTTTGTCGTCTGTGTGTTTGTAGACGATGTTCTGTTGTTTCAACCTATTACCCGTTCAGCTAGGAAAGCTTTGTTTTAGGGACGTTGTTATTTTATTTAGTTGGGCTTTTAATTTAAGGGACTGCTTGGTCGTACAATTGAAGTATATCACGGTACGCATGAGTGCACAAACATGGCGTTGTGTTATTCAAGGCTTTCCTTTTTATTATTATTTTCAAATAGAGCGCTTTAGTGGACAGTAAGTTCAGGAACTGTGCGCAGGCGATCATGCCGAATAATTTTTCATTCATCTTTTCTGAAAGCTGCGTGTCAATAAGTGACTTTTCAATACCACTTAAAGCGTGTATTGTTTTAATATGTGGCATGAAAGAATGCCTACGTGCCTTTTCCTTGAATCGTGCAGTATTTTTGAGACTTTCTTTTCGTGTTTCATGTGTATGTCCGTGTCGTGGTGCGCGGGTTATGACTTTCATTTTATGATGACCGTGAAGCGTAGTGTGTCAGATGTTCTCTGCGATGTCGTCCACATCAGTGAAATGGTGCGCGAAAAAGAAAACGCCTTGGTGGACGACCGGAACACTGAAAGCTCGCGAAAATTGTGCGTTTGTGATTTTCTTGAACATTACGAAGTAATATTCTTAAGAAGGGGGCTATGTCACAAACGACTCCAATTTTCGGAGCATCCGCGGGCCCCATCTTCCAAGGAAGGGCGCTTTTGTGTTGGGAGACGACATCCGGCGACTATAACGACCCAGCGTGGCGCCGGCTCGTCTTCCCTGCCCCTGACCGGAAGGGGAACCGGTGGTCTCAACAAGGAGAATTACTCCCCAGATGAGATGGGAGCACGTGGACGCCCCTGAAGAGGTTTGAACTGCATCGGAAGAGCAGTTGACGTACAGACAGCAACAAGTGCGGTCGTCGGTGTCGCGAGTCTCGCGTAGGCGGCGAGCACGGAGTGACCCGCGCAACGTATTGAGACGGCTGCAATTCCGGGCACCCTCGTCGTTCTACCAAGCCGGCGAGACCTTCAGCGGCACCCGTCAACTCCCCTACGTGTACCAAGAGCTGGCCTGGTCCGTATGGAACTTTTTATTGTGACTTTTTTAAACTGTTAAATTGTTTTAACCAGCCTTTTTTTTTAATCTGTGTAGTTGTGTGCGCTGCGTCGCACGTTTAAATTCAAAAGCGCCACCATGATCATTGTGTAATTATTTCCTTGTAACCCTCTTTTACGATTTCCATCTTGTCGTTATTTTATTAACATTCCGCATATTTGTCTTTAGCCTGTATCTGTTGTAGTGTTTTTAGCACATTTTGTTATATCGCTGTTCTTTCTCATCGCATATCAGTTTTTCTCCTTTGTTATTTATGTAATCTCCTGCCTTTGCCCCTGTTTTAATTAAATTCTTGTTTATGTGTAATCGAACTCCGTGTCTGCTCTATGAGTGCGTCGGTCAGGCCCACACATCACCACACGTGCAACCCCGCACGGGTCGACCAACCCGCAAATAAATTCGAAATGTGCCACTTCGAGGCCTTTCAGGCGTCGCAGGCCGAAGCGTAATGTGGAAGCCTGCGAGTCTGCCGCACGTCGATGTTGGATCGGCGGGGCCTCACCCGAAGTGTGTGACAGCCACCTACTACACATATTCTTCGTGTGTAGATCACTGCCCCGCCTAATACACAATTTTTGGTGAGTTTAATTGCAAGAAAAGTATGCCCCTCCTCAGACAGTTGAACCCTGAACTATATTATTACATTGTTAGCACACAATGTTTTCGCAACATTGCATAAGAATTTGGTGCTACTAGGGTACGATTTGTCGTACACAGTGTGTCTACTTTGAAGAATGCACGAGGTCTGTTAAAAAAACATCTGACTTTATTATTTTTGCGAGCCTCTGATGGATTTCAAACAAGTGCCCTTCAATCAGCCAGCCTTGAACCTTCGTGCACATGCGTGAATTTTTTCCCACCTGCCAATAGCATCAATCAATGGGACGCTGAGTTTGCGTACGCAGTGCTCTCATCAGTTCTTCATTACAAAGAAAATGACCGAGCAACTGAAGAAGCACTAGTACATCAAATATTGCCAAAAACTAGGCAACAGGCAAGCGATTTGGGAAGATTAAGACGGCTTTGGGTCACGACGCTATGAGCTGCACATTGATTAAGAAGTAGTACAACCGGTGCATCAGTGGAGGGCAACCGATGCTCCGGTCGGCCATCAACATGCCAAAAGGACCTGGTCATTGCCAAAGAGAACACTATGGTGATGCGGGACTATCCTGAGACTATCCGGGAAATTGCGGAAAAGGTAGGCACCAGCGCCTTCTCTTCACATTTCATCATGACCGAAGATTCGGCCATGAAGAGGATCGCGGCGAAATTCTTGCCGCAACTGCTCACAGAGAAGCAAAAGCAACTTCGTGTTGAAGTCTCACAGAACAACATGCTGGATTTCACAAGCAGTGACCCTAACTCTATGAACGCCATCATCACTGGTGATGAGTCTTGGGTGTTTGGGTACGACCCAGAAACCAAATGTGAGTCATCACAGTGAAAGCATTCCACGTCACCAAGACCAAAGAGGTCCCGCCAAGTGCGCAGCAATGTCAAAGTGATGCTGAGTGCTTTCTTTGACTCCCGCAGTGTGGTACACTACGAGTACACACCATAGGGTCAAACAATCACCGAAGAGTACTACAGGGATGTCCTCCGTCGCCTGCGTGATACTGTGTGGTGCAAGAGACGAGCTGTGGTCAACAAGAAACTGCCGCATCCATCATAATGCTCCTGCACATTCCCCACACTAGGTTCAGACATTTTTTGTGAAATGTCAGACTCCTGTAGTTCAACTCCTCAGTCTCCTGATATGCCCCCCCCCCCCCCTGCGACTTCTGGCTGTTTTCCAAACTCAAGAGGACATTGAAAGGAGAGCGATTTCAAACAAGAGAGGACATTATGGCTGCAATGACATCTGAGCTAAACTCCATTCCGAAAGTGGCTTTCTCAGAATGCTTCCAACAACGCCAGCATCACTGGGAAAAGTGTGTGGCGTCCTGAGGAGACTACTTTGAGGGGGATTAGGTTTCCAGCACTCCAATTATGCCATTTTTTTTTTTCTGCCACCGAAGGTGGGATACTTTTCTAACAGACCTCATGTGACAGTGGCGTAAGATATACTGCTACATGAAGGAAATGTTCGCCTTACATAAGCCAGCTTCGCAACAGCGTTGGCCTTCACAGACATATTCTCCTGCCGGAGCTCTTCCTTGATTTCGTCGATGCATTGTGAAATGTATTTAGTCTGAAAACAAAAAAAAAAAGACAGTCAGCATACAGATCAATAAAAAGATAGTTTGGAATTTAAACGTTCTGGTGAAAGCAAAGGTGCATCTTGCAATATGATTAACAAGGTTACTTGGAAGTGTTTGACGAATAGTTTTGACATAGTTTGACGAATATGATGCACTAGTCAGAACTTAAATAATGTCCCAATCCCAACACGTACTTCGTCAAACACTTTCCGTAAAATAGTGGTACACACCTGCGAGCAGATATGTGCCACTGTTATGCAGGTACGTGCCACAGGAACAGCAAGAACACGCATCTTGGTGAGAACATACATCAGGAACAGCAAGAACACACACTGGTAATTTCAACACGTTCGTGTTAAAGGGCCAGTAAACAACCTCAAGGTCGAAAAATAGTTCTAAAAAGAAATATGTGCACTTTTACTTTGTGAACATGCTGCCACAAGAGTCTTGTGAATACATGCTATATTAAGAAAGTTGCCAAGGTTAGAACACCATTTTCAGCTGGTTTCAAATTTTTGTGCGGTCTCGCCACCCTTTTCTTATAGAGGGAGGGGAAATCAAAGCCCGTCGTCGTTACTCTGCCTTCTTCAGCAACGTGACATGACGTCAGCCACAGACGCCATCGGCCAACTCAATCTCAAAGCACTTTTGCTTGCCGAGATGCCTGGCTGTTCACTGTTCACCCGGTGCCGACGCTTTTCAGCAGCCCAGTCGCTCAATTTGCAACTGATAACAATTCGCAGCGAAACAGCATTCCAAAACCTGGAAATACAATCCACCTGATTTCACAGCGAAAGTTTTTATGAGATTACAACTGGGGTCATGCGCGGCGCCGTAGTTGTCCACCGCCGCAAGTGCCCCTAACCACTACCACAAGAAATAAGAAGAAAAAAAAACTTAGTACCAAGGACACAGTGGGGCTCGAAACATGGTCTGCTGGGTGCCCAGCCCAGTATTATACCACTGAGCCATGCCCGTGCTTGGGACTTGTTTGAAAACTTGCCTTAGGCAGTCTCGATGTCAAGAAAGGAATTGCGTTAATATGAGTAATGAAGCATTTTAGAGCAACAAAAGAACAACGAGGCGTCACACAATGTGAATAAGGGAACGAGTGGGTCGTCCAATGCTCCAACTCGTTACAAAAGCTTTTTCTTCATCACCTATTAACTGTGGCGCATACCCACTTAAACCATAATTCCTAATCGTCGTCAGCTACTGTGTGAACAATTGGCACAAAATTCCTTGCAAGTGTTCACTTCTCAGAAAAATGACGAAAATATCATAGCGAATGCCGGCCTACTACCCAGAAATTATCATTATTAATGCCATAGTGGGTACCCAGCAAGTGTGCTTGCCACAGTTAGCAAATGAGTGTTTAGAAAAGGCTCTGAAAGGCTGCTCTTCTAGCTTTAGCTGTGCTGCACCTTCCGTGCAGGCCTGGCATTTAGGGGGGGGGGGGGGGGGGGGGGGATCGGCAAACTGTCACACCATCTGAAAACAGCAACATAAAACAGAAATAATGCGTTTAATAGTGGGTGTGCTGGTCAACAGATGGCATAACAATCTGCTCACTTCCAAAACTGGGCCAGTGAAGTGTCCAGCTTTCGATACATGGAGCCTACAGGGGGGGGGGGGTATTCGCAACTCGCATGATTGAATAACTCTGTCATAGCTGAGGGGGGATATTATGGCAACAGGAACTGTCGTTGAGTTCACTACTGTTGGTTGAGACCTCGTTTAGACCAATCCACGAACTGCGTGCATCACGTTGCCGATCACAGAGTTGAAATCACTGCGCGTGGAAGGAGGTTGGTCAGGTGCATGAAACATGCGCAGGAATTCTTTTTTTCTTTAATGGAGAATTTGCCTGGCATGCAGCGCTGTAATATTCAAAAAACTAATCGCTGCGGTCTACTCTACGATATGCTGAGGGTGTTTGGGGGGTGTAAAAGAAAAGTTGGAGCCTGTTGACAGGCCTTTTAAAGAAAAAGCTGACATCGGCAGCATTGACCCAATGAATGCATACAATAAGTATGGTCACAGCAAGAATCGAACCTCAGCACTCTACGTGACAATCAAGTATTCTACAACAGAGCCACACTAGGTCTCGGAACTACTTTTCAAATAGACCGTAATGCTTGTGAAGTGCCAATTGTGGTTGCAGTGCTGGGGGGGAGGGTCCAATTTTATCAACATTACAGATATACTCCTATCATACAGCTGTTACATCGAGCTAACGCCAATTGAAGTTAGGTGAAATCTGCTGAAGTTGATTCACATAGCAGTGTCCAGGGCTACCGTATTCGCCAGCACCAGCGCTTCATATCAGCTTATCGCTTCTGGTGTTGCTAATGCTCATGTGCCTGTTGGCATCGTTGCACAAGTGCAAACAACTGCTTATGTAAACATCTGACCTTTCAACATATGTCTATGCATGCAACATTTGTACATATATTTAGCATCATTTCATGACGCTCAATAAAAAAATTACAACACGGTAATGTTCCCTCTGCATTTTTCGCACAACGTCGATTCCTAACGTTCACAAGATCTGCAGAACTCTTTTTTTCTTCTTTGGATACGCGGCTTTCCAGTGCAATCACGCATGCACACATGGAGAAGTCGCAGTCTCTCGCAGCGGCCCCAGTAAAGATCCAGCGCACCATGCTCAAATCAGCCAATAGCTGATACTTGGCCTGGGTCATAGCGATTTTGATATTGTAGTGTTATTTAGGAAGAGAAAGCGATTTTTTGCAGGCCCAGAGAATTTATTTTAAATTCCAGGCCATGTGCTACGCTAAAAAATTTGGCACGTATGTTCTTGGAAGCTATTGATCAGCAGCATTTTCTGACCATGCTCAAAAAGTGTTCCAGGCCCCCTTCAAGGAAAGTTTACGCCATTGGCTCTCACAGTGTCGCACAGGTATCATTTCATTAAGTGTTTGGTGCTTGGCATAATCTGGCTCTTTTCGCCATAGTTGTTTCTCCCAGTTTTGTGAACCTCATGTGCTAAAGATAGCTTTTTTGCTCTATACTTTGGTTTTTAACTTTGAGGTGATAGCTGTTCATCAGTTGTTAGTTTGCGGTTTCAAGCACATGTTTCCCAGTTGCTGTTGCTTTTTGGTGACAGATGAAACCTTGATTTTTTCTGTAAATTTTAGCTTGAAGAGAGATCTTGTCCTTTCCAGTTCTTCTTGCGTATTTTCATCAAAAAGCATACTGATGGTGTGCTACCTCAGGTTACCATGAAATGGCAGAATGGAATATTTACATTTCAAAAAGTTTAATGCATCAAAAAAAATGAATTATCACTGCACTGCTTTTTCATAGAAACAAGATGCAGTACAGTTACCAACCATGAATGGAAATCGAAAAGCACAAATGTAAAAAAAACGCTTGTCATAATAAATGTCGGGGGTTTAACGTTGCATACCCACGATATGATTATGAGAGATGCCGTAGTGGAGCACTCCGGTAGTTTTGACCACCTGTGGTTGTTTAACGTGCACATCAATCTAAGCACACGGGCTTTACGCACTTTCACCTCCATCGAAAATGTGGCTGTCGTGGTCAAGATTCGATCCCGCGACCTGCAGACAGATGCTTTAAACGCAATAGCATTAAAGAGCTCATTTGGAAAGACTTCCAGCATTGGTGTCGGCGTCGTTGGTTGTAAGCGAGAAATGTAGCATCTTTGCGTGACCGAAAAATTGAGAATCATGCAATAAAATAAGCAATAAAAATTCTGGGTCTGAGTGGCGATCAAAACAGTTGCACGCGTGGCAAGCGAGTGTTCTACCCCACAGCCACGCCTCTCCTTGTGAATGCAGTGAAAATAACTTGCTCTGCTTGGAAATCTAGTGAAAGTAACTTTCATGCTCTACAAACACACGCGTCCTGTATACGTGCCTCACAATACAACATGAAATATTGTAGTAATAATGCGGGGCACAAGCGCACCGCCATCGAGAGTAAGAACATGGGATTATCATAATGACTTCAGAGTTTAAGGCTAGTCACTCACTACAGAAAACACACCTGCCACTGCACCCTTAAAGCCACATAGTGGGTGCAAGTTCGAAAAGATTTATTAAAACAAGTGTTTGGAGTACGCACTCGGAACAGGATATCGATATCACGTTCAACGTTTCATTTTTGCCTAGGACACCCAGCTAGACGCTTAGGCTGCCATTTTCCGCAAATACATGCCAATAGCGATGCTGCAATGATGCCTAACATAATTATACTGCATGCTAGGTTTATTTGCCATAATTCAAGCTTAAAAGTAAGCTTACGGCTTACGCGAGGTAGCAGTCGCGGACTAGAACAGCGTCCAAAGCTCGAGACAAGAGTGATTCCGTCTGTCAGCGCACCGAAAAATGTGAATGTGACAATCCATGCGAAATGTCTCAAGGGACACCCGTGAAGCCTGCTTCCGTACGAACTACACAGCTTCAAAATCGCTACAACTTCTTAGGCTCGAATCACAAGGACCCAATATCATCTAGAACAGCGGTGTAACTAGGCAATAGCAAAGTAAGATAGTGCTCCGAAACATCTCAATGTGACAATCCAATGTCCTCCCGGCCGCATTTTCGATGGAGACGAAAATGCCCAATGGCCGTGTACTTTAAGCTTGGGTGCACGTTAAAGAACCCCCCGGTGGTCGAAATTTTCGGAGCTCTGCATTGCGGCGGCCCTCATAATCATATGGTGCTTTCCGAACACACAATCATTCACGTGTCCAGAGGCAACCGGTGAAGCCCGGTGAAGCCCGCTGAGGTGCCAACTGCACAGCTTCAAAACCTATGCACTCTGATCCCGAGGGACGGCGGTCGGCGCAGTCTCACCGACTTATCTGACACTTGACGCCCCCGAAATATGGGGCTAGGCCTCCCGCAGTTGCAAGCAGTACGCGACGATCTCTCACCTCGTTCTCCTTGTTGTTCCTAATACCGCGGACGAGGTCCGTCAAGTTCTTGTCGAACATTCGTTCGATATTACCCTTGACTTTCCGCAATGCCATGTCTTGCGATACTTGATAACCGCATAAAGCTTGCGGCTTTCCTAAATGCTAAACAAAAACCCAGCCGCACCAGCGTATGACCAACTTGTGTGGGCATAAATAACAAAAAAAAAGAGAAAAAAAAAGTCATGTGATCTGGATGGATAAATGGATTGATAAGGCTCACAACAACGCCTCCTCCAGGAAGATGCCTGTCGCATGAGAAGAAAAACAGCCGCCACACCCTTTTCCTCCTTCATTTAAAAAATGTTCTCGGTCGCTAGCGTCACTTGTGGCGGACGGTGCTACAACGCAACACTTTGCATAGCCTCCGAAACAGTAGTGCACAGTTTCAGGTCTCAAACAACTCTCGACTGACGCGCCCCTATGGGCCGCAGATGAAAAACGCTAAGCTGGTTCCATGACCTCCTCTATAGATTAACGACCTGCCCGTGCTACAACGCTCCTGCGTGTTAAATTTGTTTTTGCTTGTTTATTATTTTTTAGCTCTGACTTGCCACGGCAAAGCGTGGCGCTACAACTTACCCCAATCTCTCGCAGACGGGTGAAGGCTGCGCAGGCATCGCACGTGTTGTTTTCTTTGTGGTCGTGGTGTGTCGTAACTGGCGTTCTTTGACTTTTGTTTTGCTTACCATTGCCTAAAGTGTGACAGCACTGGTCGCAGCAGTAAACTATTTAGGTATGGTTTACTGTTGCGTTCCGTTCTGTAAATCGAGCGGACGAACATCAGAGCGAACGAGCGACACCTTTGCTGATCAAACGACCACAGCCACTGCAGAAGTTCACGTGTGCCGTGCTTCCATCTATTGTTAAGAACCCCCTGTTCAAATGTGAAAGGAATGACAGTGTAGCCCATACAACTGCACTTGTGAAGCACATTCTCGTGAAGTTTCTGCAACCTTTTCTGGCAAATTTTTCCAGCAACGTAGCCGAGACTCACGCGAAAAGGAAGTTGCTGTACGCCAATCCACAGTCACGAAAGGTGCTCAAGGTTTGAGCTTGGCAAACAAATAAAATGTACTGGAATTTCACAATGAATGAAGTGTGTTCCTTCTGCATGAGAATTTTATTTAGTATAACATAGACGAGTTTCTGAAATAATGGTCTTAAGCATTTAACTAGTGGGTTAATCAGGGGCACAGCAGTTAAGAGGCTATACTAAGGGAAGTGCAGCAAAATATATTTTCAGAAAGATTCGGGTCAATTGCAGTTACAGAGATGCATTTGAATTTTGCCTTTGTAAGTGACATAAGTGTGCTGGTTTCAATGGGACAAATGATTAAGTGCCGCTGCTTGTAGCAGGCTAAATGTATGGTAAGTTCAGCAACTTGGCCCACGTTATGCATAAAAACGGTTTGTTAAGTATGGTCATGGTTATACGTAGCTTATGCTGCTTTATAAAAAGCCTGGAGCTAATCGTACTCCATTTAATTCGTGATCTCGTAGTAATACGTGTGCTAAAAAGCTTCCAACTCTGAAACTGAGACTCGGATGATTCAATGAGCTACAAGAAACGAAAATGCGAGCATTGCAGTTTCGGCACTTCTCTTCGTTCAAATGTGCGGAATAAATTGCACAGCTACAATAGCCCTTAAAGGTTTCTACTTCAGTGAAGAATGACAGACTCCTCGACCATGAAGACGTTGAAATGTTATGTCTGAAGAACCAAGTGCCATCAATGTTTTTGTTTAAACGGCGGCACCCTGTGAGAACCACCAGTCGCGCACGGCAGGGCTCTCATTGACATTCCCATTAGATTGCCGACTTTGTTAACGATGGTGTCGCGATGAAGATCGCGTGAATGTTCTCCACACAGCGGCACAGAAAGTTTTTCACAGAGCACACACACAGCAGCCACGTTGAGTAATTGTTGGGACCACTGCACTGAGCCGAGGCATGCTGTCAATGCGCCTACTTCACGTTCTCGGCCTCGTCTCTGCGCACTAGTCAAACAGAAAATTCCAAGATCATCTGCTCCAGGACGTCCGAGCACGCTAGTGTCTCGCTTTAATCCCCCTGCCCCTTCCCCCTTTATGCTGGATCGTCAATGAAGTTGTTTCACTCACTCAAGATCATCACGCAAGTTACTAAAGGAAGAAAAAAATATATCTGCCGCGGCACATTAGAAACCGTTCCGACGGTAAAAGAAAAAAAAAATACTTGCCGCGGAGCACTCGAAACGCGGGAACCGTTCCGACGGAGCTACGTACTTTTCAAGTTGTCGCGTCGGCTCCTATGGGGTTAAGTTGAAGCGGCCTCTCATGACACTTTTGTAACTAGACAAACACGTGACCCTCCACAGTTGGAGTCAAGCACAGTCGTAGAAAAACCGGTATGAGCAGGTCGCCAATCTATAGAGGAGGTCGTGGTTGCAACACACGGCGCTTCAGCGAGCATGGGAATGATTGATGGGTAGTACACATTTTTGTCTAATTTTTGTACTTATAGTAGCCTGCTTCTGGCTCCGTGTGTGTTCGTGTGGCTTGGAGCTGTTTTTTCACGAAAACATAAATTAGCAAATGTTCACCGTTTGCGCTTCACAACCTTATTTTTTTTAAGTTTACTATTTTGGATCAAGTTCTTAGGTTCAAAACAATTTGTTTTTACTGTCAAAACAAAACCGTAATCAGTAATAAACAAAGCCGCAAGTACGATTCGCCGCCCGCAAGTACGAAGACTAAGGAAAAAAAAGAGGCTAGACCATGGTATAGTGAACTAGAAGTACTCTAGTGGTGCGACCGGCCAGGCTCTGGCGCCAGCCTTTCACACGGATGGCGCGAGGTGGCGCCACTGCTCCATTTCCTAGGAGCTTCGGCTGCGTTGACCGGCCGTCGCTGGCTCCTTCTGAGTTGCAGCTATGGTGTTTGCTTCCTGGCTCATGCAAACGTAAAATTGCTAGGTTAGTTATTGCGTGGCTCAGCGGTTTGTATATACATAGTTTGGCCAAGAATATATATATATATATATATATATATATATATATATATATATATATATATATATATATATATATATATATATATATATATTCATATTTACCACACGCGCTAATAACATTCGCTACAAAGCGATTGCTCATCACCATCACAAGCTTACGGCGCGCTTCCACTATAGTTTTGGTGCTGGCTTATTACATAGAAGGTCATTTTCAGCACCATGGTAAGGACACAGAGCTCAGCATCGAAAATGAAAACAGGAACATCTTTTTATTTATTGTGATGGTTGGAAGAGTACAAAAAAATTACAAAATAACAAAATAAATTTCACTAGTTTAACAGCTTTTCAAAACTATTACGAGGATTCGCAAAAAAGAAGACACGTGAGATGGACATGTGCAGAACTTAACATTTACTGAGCTTTAGGTGCTTGGCTGATTCTCGTTTTTTAGCACTATTCTGGTTCACGCTTTTAGTTAGGAAATGCAGACGAGTAGTGATGTAAAAAACGATGACCTCAGCTGCAATGCCTTCAGAATGGTCACGACAACCAAGCCCATTTTTTTGCTTTGCCTTAACTTCGCTTAAAATGTCGAGTATGCTATCAGCGTGCAGCTCCAGCAAACTGAAACACGTTGTGAAGGCTTTTTCTAAATCATGAACAAACTTAAACAACAGGCTAGACGGATAAAGCAGGCCACCTCTGTCTTTCATGTGTGTCAATTGCGCAAGGTGTTTGAGACTTTCAGCAGACTCCTTTTGCATTAGAAGAAGTTTACGGCACTCTTCGCAGCCAGACTTCAGTAGGCATTTTCTAGCTGCATATCCTGCTATATAAAATGTTAGCCGGTTGTCACTGGCAGATATAATGCATGACGCATGGTCTGGCGCACTCTGTGGGAGCGAGCTCTGCACGGCAGCTACATTGTCACTGTTTATAAACTTGTCCATTAAGCGCTGTTTACCAGATGGAACATTTTCAGCACCTGAATTTGCAGGCAGCACCTGAATTTGCAGCACCTGAATCACGTGCACATATTCGCGCAGAATATATCTTGGCTCGAAGTGATGTTCGCACACCGCTGATGTTTCGGTCAGAGGCTTGTCATCCCTCCGGAGGTTACGCTCCCACTTTCTGCGGAGATCGTCTTCTCTAGGAGCTGCAAACAACGATGCCTTCGGGGCGCCCGGGTAGCCGCTTCGGCAACCCGGAGCAAAACAGTGTGAATCCGTCCTCCGCTTCGACATGTCACGAGCTACATGTTTGTTGGTACGGAATACCTGAACAGGTAAAGACAGCTGCTCCACAACGGTCTGTGCGAGAAAATGCAGAGCAGAGTATACCGGTACACGTGCAGTACAGTAGCTGCAGACAAAGCGATGCGCAGGATACCGGCAGACGTGCTGAACTAACGCGCTGAATCACCAAGTGACCGCGCCTCGCCTAGGAAAAGGTGCAGTAGCGCCACGAGAAACCCTAGCGGCGGTCCGTGGTATTTCCGACCGCCAAGAGAGGCGGCGTGGCCTGGCGGTCGTGCCACTAGAGTACTTCTAGTTCACTATAACCATGGGCTAACAACGGCACCATGGGCTATTCCATGAAGCCGTCGCATGGCAAACACCCGCACTACTTCCTAGCGGAAAAACAGATAAACACTTCGCGATTTTCGGCGAGCATCCGCTGCGGCTATAGTGTACTAGAATGTGAAGTAATGTGTTCAGGCACCCCTAGAGGTGTGCGCCGAGGTGATTTCGACCGGCGGCGGCGTGGAGGTCGTTCAGAGTCGGCGGCGGCGGCGTTGTCGGCGCACGCCGGTTAATTCATCGGCGGCGGCGGCGCCGGCGGCGCGGAAACCGAAACTAAAAATTCAAAAGGTTCTTCTGCCAGAGGCTGCTGAATTAGTTGAAATTCAGGGATTTTCATCCAAATAGCACAAATGACACTACAGAGATGTGTCGACATCACGATGAATGCAAAGCGTTTTGTAAAATAGTTTTTATTTCGCTTTCATAATAAAAAACGCGTATTTCAATTTATGTCCAAGTTCTACCACGAATGTGCAGCACTTTGCTTGTTTTTTTTTAATTTAAGATGCGGCAGTTTGTTTCTGTGGTTGGCTACGTCATACTTCATGAAACCTTCTTTCATTGAACATTGAGCAAGCACCGACGCACGTCACT